TAGCGCATGAGTCGTTTCAGTTTGGCAAGCGCCTTCGGTCCTGGTTTAGCCATGCTCTTCGTGAGTACCAGCACCGAGTGAGAGATGTCTGGCCTCGATCCCCTGCTGATGTATAGGACCGAACCCGTAGCCGACCGGAACATGGTAGTTTGCTCCGGCGACAGAGCATTTTCTTCCTTGGTCGTAACCGGCTCCTTCTCGGCCGGCGTTGCCGTCGCGCGCACGTCAGCCATGCCGAATTTAGCAAGCACGGCCTTGGTGTAAGCTTCTTGCGTCAGTAGGATGGTGCCCGCTTCGAGGTTGCGCTGGATGGCCATTCCCAGGATAAACTTTGCTTCTCCCAGGTCCACCGTCTCAAAGCGCTCCTTCATCTGTTCGATAATGGTCGTCACGAGCTCCTCCTTGGCTTCGGTAAGTAGGATGTCGTCCACGTAGACGAGCAGGATGACCTCTCCCCCGTTCAACGTGTACAGACACGGATCGGCGGTGCTCGGGACGAACCCGATCTCCAGCAGGAACAGGTGAAACGTCCCATTCCAGCTTTTCGGAGAGAGGCGTAGGCCGTACAGCCACGCCTTAAGTCGCCAGACCAGCTTTGTTTGCTCCTGCGAGCACGTGAACCCCTTCGGAGGTATTACGTAGATAGGTTTGTCTTTCTTGGACATCCTGGAGTTGAGAAAAGCCGTCTTCATGTCGGCCTGCCTGAGAGCTTGGCCAAAACCAGCAGCGTGGGAAACCACTAGATGGACAGATTCCATAGACGCCACCGGTGCAGCCTTATCCGCTCCCGTGTCAGCTTCGTGAAAACCTTGCACCACCACGCGACTCTTCGGGCGAACTGGCACATGTTCTTGGTTGTACTTCCACCTGTAGTGGAACCTAGTCGGAAGAAGTTGGGCGTCTTCGGGCGGAAGCACCCAGTCGAACACGTCGTGGTCGTAGAGCGACTGCTCTTCATCGTTCATGCTCGCTCTCCAGCGTGCTGCATCCGGTCCACTCATCGCTTCATCGTAGGTGGCAGGATCGGCAGGCATGTAGCCCACCTCCCCGGGACTGCCTCTCCCGAGGTTGCCGAAGTCACTTCCAGTCACCATAGCATGTTCGGTCCTCTCGTACGCCTGTTCTTTCGTAAACAGATTCAACCGTTGCGGCGCCACGGAGTTCCTGCTGCTGCGGCGAGGTGCCGGTGCTTCCGGCTCCGATTCGTCGGATGATTCTTCGTTATTTTCTTCTTCTTCTTCGATAGAGTCTACCAGACCAGGCCGATAGAATGTTGAGTTAGGCGCGGGGAGAGGATCTTGCCCTAGTTTGGGCTTGATCACGTCGCGCATCTCCTTCTCACGGAACGATACCTCCACGGAGTTGGTGATTTTGAGAGGCTCCGAAGGGTCCCAAAGTCGATACGACCTACCCTTGGAGTTGTAGCCTACTAGGTACATTTTCTTGGCCCTGGCCGCCAACTTGTTCGACCGGGCGCGTACCTCTTCGTGCTTAAAGGCCAGCGACCCCCACTCGTGGATGTGAAGCATCTTTCCGAGCGGCTTCCCCTCCCATACCTCGAGTGGTGCCTTGCCGCCCAGGACTTCGGTCGGGGTCCGATTCTTGAGGTAGATTGCAGTCATGAAAGCCTCCCCCCACAGCTGTTGAGGAAGGTGCGGTGCTCCCAAGAGAAGCTTGCGGGCAGTGCCGATGATGGTACCAAATCCACGCTCGGCGATGGGGTTCCCTTGCGGGACATAGGGGGGGCTATTCGTGAGCTTGATTCCGAGCGACTTACATAGCGCCAGAAACTTGCCCAAATACTCCGCTCCCCCGTCGCAGTGCACCGTGCCGATGCTCTGACCAAGCGGGTCGGCCTCGTCCCGAACCAGAGTTTGAAGAGCTTCGGCCGTTTCGTCTTTCGTCTTGAGTAGGTAGCCGAACCTCATGCGAGTAGCGTCATCAGTAAACATCACGGCACTCTGGCAACCCCCGTATGTAGCAATAGGATGTTTGCCCCACGTATCGGCATTTAGAATTTCCAGCCGAGTCTCCGAGAGGGGACGGTTAGACGGGGGGTGGCTGCCCTTCTTACTGTCACCAACCGCACAAACACCGCAGTCACCTTGTTCGATGTTGCGATTGAACCTGATTCCGGTAGTGTCCTTGTCCGCCAGCTGCTGCAGCGCTCGCGAGTTGCAGTGGCCCATCCTCCGGTGCCACAGGTGAGCGTCTACCTTCGTGCGATTTACTTCTACAGCGCCCAGGTTGACGTCGTCGATGATGACATTCAGCACGTACATGCGAGGCACTGCGGTCGAGATCGGAAAGACCTGGTTGCCCATGCGAAGCGCCGGCGGGGTAGACATCAGATCACACATCACCCCCTTCTCGGCCAGCGCTCCAACCGAAAGTATGTTCGCTCCAAGGCCCCGAACCAGCAGAACCTCCAGAGCTACTCGCACGACTTGGTCTTGATCATTGCGCACCCCAAACTTCAGGGTACCTTTCTTGGTTGCGTCGGATGTGCCACACGACCCGATAATGCGCACAGCGCAATCTACCGGATTGAGGACGTGATGGGACAAGCGAGACTGCTCATCCACCATGTGGCTGGACGCGGCGGAATCAATGTAGCAGGCGGAATCATCAACGACCTGCGGTTTCTCTTTGTCCACCTGAAACACGCTGCTGAACGCAACGAGCTCGGTGTCCTCAGGCGCCTCCTCCGTCTGAGAATATCCGTTGGCAGCAGGATCATAGACCACCGCTGCAGCAGGTGTGTCCAGTACCTGCGGGTCATACACAACGCGTGCATCCTGCAGCGTCGGCACCGGCGCGTCTTGCACCAGCGTGTCACCAGCAGCGCGCTCCTCTGGCTGCGCCGCAGCAGGCGCATCCTGCACCTGCACGTCTTTTCCGAAAGAGATGGCGTAGTCCTCCAGCACATCGCCTTCAGTCTCCACCCGCGTGAACCATGCCTGAGTGGTGGAGTCTTGAGTGTGGTGAGTATCAGCCTGTTCAGTGGCTTCCTCCGCCTCGTGCCTCAGGCGGAGCGGGCAGTTGTGCCACCCGTGCTCTGTCGAATTATGACAGTAGCGGCAGCGCCCTTTTCGGTTCCGACCGGTGTCCTGGCCCTTACCTCGGCCACCGGAGGCGTTGTTGCCGCGATAATTCCCGCGAGCACCTTGCGCATTTCCCGCGCTGCCGCCTCCAGCGTTGCCGGCCGATCCGCCGCCGCTGCTGTAGTTCCCATTCGACGAGCCGTTCGTCGAACCGTTTGTAGTTCTGCCGCCATTTCCTCGGCGACCACCACGACCACCACGGCCGCCGTGCTTGCGGAAGCCACGTGCCCCTCCGTGCGTGACAGTGTTCAACGCACGGCCGTGGCTGCCCGACCCATCGTCTTGGTCGAGCACTTTTCCGCGAATTTGCATTGCGTGGTAGAGTGTGGCACGACGTGCGATATCGTCGAAGCCTAGCGCACCGCTACCAACAGTGGGCGACTCTACCAACAGTACAGTCTTGAACGAGCCGTATTGCTTGTCGGGCAGGGCCTTTAGGATGGCATGTGCTTGCCGTTGTTTCACGACTGTGTCTCCGAGTTTGCCGAGTTCGTGAAAGATGCGGCGCAATTGTTGGATTGCGCGAGCCGGATCGTACTTGTCAGCAGCGGTGACCGCGACGGCGGCCAACTCATCGTGTAGCTGCTGCATTCTGAAAGTCCCATCGACACGGTACTTTTGCTCGAGCGCTACAAAAGCACTTCGACCGTCACCGAACTCCTCGTCCCCGACAGGCCCAAACGACTGCACTACCTGCGAAGCCGGGCTCGAGTATCCTTCCGGGCAGTCCGACGTAGCCAGCAGAAGCCGCGTGTAGAGTTTGCCATTCTTTTCTTGGAACTTTTGTAGCTTCCTCTCGTACGTCGCGGTCGCTGCGGCGTCGGCATCCTCCGCCACCGTGGGAGCCTTCTCCGCTCCAGACATGACCCGACCTAGGTCTGCCTCGTACATCAGCGCACGGAAAAGCGAGACCCAACCGACAAACTGGCCGGGTTCTCCGCTGAACGCGACATATCCGCGCTGCAGATGATTTGACGACTGCTGTTGCGCTGATGACGCCATTTGACTCGAGATGATTCCCTACCTCGCTATACGAGGCTCATAACCTTGGGCGGTACCACAGCTGTAGTACGCTGGTTGGCGTATGTGGTAGAGGCTTGGTAGAGAAAACAAAAAGAGTGATTTATTATCCACACACAGACGCCTGGACTGTCTGCACCTACCTGACGGTTACAGTAACACAGAACGCCTTCACAATACCGTATCAAACACATACAGCAGAATAGAGTCGGTCTTGCATAGCAAACACCCCAACAGGACGCATCCGCCCACCGTACCAGGTGTCTAACGTGGATGGATGTCCTCTACTTTAAGTAGACTTCATTTCATACTCTCTTGAACTCACCTGCATTGTTTAGCTCGCTTCGCTTGCTTGGACGGTGACAACTGGCAAGCATGGGGGGGCACACCTGCCCAGGGTATCCCAGCACCTAATTCCACCTGAAACAGCATGCTTCAAGCATCTATTCGGGGATCTTGTCTATTCGGGGATCCTGGGCTTTTCGCAAGCTTCAGGTGAGCAGAAGATCTACCAGCCCAAAACTAGGGATACATATCCAACTCCTGGAACACAAGATATCTGCAGCACTACCGAACGAACCAATGCTGTCTATCAACAACGCGATCGCGTAACAACTTTTTCAATTATTCCCTCAATGAGGGGACGGAGAAGAAACAGGCGGGTGACAGCGTGGACTGGAGGGGACATCGCGCCTACATGCCGAAGAATTGAACGTGATGGATGGAGAACGTGCATGCGTCGAGAACAACTTGCTTGGTGATTTCTTTAATGGTTAGACTAGTCTCTGTTGTGGAACAAAAGAAGGTTTCGTCCTCGACAGACGTTGGGGAGTTCAACCATTATGAAGGTGTTCTCCACATTACCCCCCCCTTTTTCGAGGCTTCTTCTTGTTTGCTAGGCAAGAGAAGTCTTCTTGGGGTAACCGGAACCCGACCGGCTGGCGGCGAGTAGAACCACCTTTTTTCCAACAATCTTCCATTGCGTGTTGCGGGTGCGCCACTTCCGCCACGCATTGCCAGAAGTTTCGAGTTCGATAGACAGTGCATCGTTTGTTGGCCCACCCACCGTTTTTCTTTTTCCGTACCCCGGAAGAAAAGTGGGTGAACAGCGGGTTTTAAACCCGTGTCTTTTGCAATTAAAAGCAGACACTTGACATATCTTCGTCGACGCCATTGTGGAAAAGAGGGTTGGTTTCGTCCTCGACAGACGTTGGGGAGTTCAACCTTTATGAAGGTGTTCTCCACACTGTTGGTGGTTGCTATGATTTCTCTTTTTCGAGTACAACCAGAGGTGGTCACATCCCTCTCGGGGTGGGGGTGGTTGTCTTGATGTCCGAATGTACCGCTTGAAAAATGACTCCGGGCGTGATATCGTAGAGGATGTTTTAGAATGAATGCTGCTATCGACGTCGTGCTGCTCCGGCGAACAAAGTAGAAAAGCAACAGGAAAACTATATAATGCGTTGCGAAAGTACTATATAGTCTAGGCTTTGTTCTTCTAAAGTATGTACCAGGTAATTTAGTTTTGTTGCATGTGCCGTTATTCCTGGTAAATCGTGAGGAAAGTTTCTTCGTAGATCCTCTCTCGTACCGGGTAGGGAGGTTGCTTGGGGTGCTCGGAGGTTGGTCTCGACTACGGGCCTCTGGGTGTTACGACGTGGATATTGCAAAAAATATGATGATAGATCACAGCCCGGCGGAGCTCTTGCCTCGCTAACGTGTGCCCGTCACTCGTTAGTGTAGTAAGGAACTTGAGTTAATCCTATTAATTCAGGATGTTGTTTTCGTCCAGCATGCGCGAGTATTAAAACGAGGTACATGTGCCGACATGAAAACTTGATGCGTCAGTCCGTGTGTGCCCATGCTTGCCACAGACGTAGAAGATGGTGGGGGAGGAGTTTCGGAAACAGTGGAAGATCTTGTTGAGGGTCAGAATCCTTGATGCGGGCGTGGGCACGCCTCTCGTTTCTCACTAACGTATGGCGGTGAGCTAGATGAACCGGCGTGACGCCACTACCGCTCGAGGCCTACGTTGATAAAACGCTGAGCGCATTGATGCACCCGCCAAGAACAACAACGACACCAACCAGCGCATGCATTGACAGCCAACTGCAAAGCATGCCATCCGCACCAGACTGGCCAAAACCATACCCCCTGCTGGTAGATATCTGCGCACTGGGCATAGTGACGGTAACCTTATGGCGAGTAGCACCCCTTGATCAGACACACTGCCTACGAGCATACACGCGTACTAAACACCACAAAAAACGTGGAGCCTGGGGCACACCCTCGCACCCTCCCTCCAATCGTGGTACGTGGCAAGCTAAAAAAGTTTTTGCCCAATATATGGTACGCTTAAAGCCGACGAAAAACAAGCTCCAATCCCGGTCATGTTCACTCAAGAAAGATGGAAACTACAGGCAGTACACGTCAGGACAGAAAACAAAGTACTCTGTATTCTTATGAAATGTTCCAGGGAACATTGGGCACAGTTACACACAGGCCATCAGTACGAGTCGCGGTTCTGGTCGACACTTCCCAAACTAGGCAAAAAGAAAGCTGTGCATGGAACCTACATAGAAACAGGAACGCCATCGACATCAATCACACACGATGAGCAAGTTAAGCGCACCACTGGACCGAAGCGTACTGCTGTGACCACACACAAATATCATACTGTGTCGACAACAACAGGATGTCAAATCCTGCTGAACCCCACGATCGCTCTTGTCCTCTCCTTCACAAAAACAAATCGATGCACAGCCAACGGCGTGGTACAGATAGAGAGCAAGATTTCCGCTCAGCGATGGCACAACCAGCAATGGAAATTCACAACTGCGTCGCATTCTGGTTTGCAAGTTTGGCGTCCCTGCCCTCCTTCAGTCCACACCGTGGTCATATAACACCTAGACATACAGCTCCAACTTCCCCTGAGGCCACGACGAAGGAATCCCTACTACTGGTTCATGAAACCTTATGTTTATCCTTCGTCAAAAATGGCAGCAAAAAAAAACTGCCGACCAATCTCGTCCTTAGACCCCAACCTCTCTTCCCCCGGTTTCCACAGATAAAACAGAACCAAACCGTCGTTCGTTGGGGAAATGACCCCGAGCACCGAAAAGATGAATCGGAAAGCATGCACGCCTTGTTGAAAAGCACGCACGTGCGCTTTGTTCGAAGCCGGGAGATCCTTGACGTGCCGAAAAAGCCCAGCACATAAGAGTGGACATGCTCCCCCTCTCAACCTTCCTCCTCCTTCACACGTCCTGGTTGATCTCAGCCAGGCTCTGGGCGAGGTCGAGGAGAGACCCCATGTCCTTGCGCTCGGTAGGATCAGCAGCCAAAAAGTGAGGGAGGGATTCGAGCAGCTGGAAAATTGGAGAGGCACGAAAATGAGGGGGGGGGGGGG